CACACTGGTCAAATGCTTCATTTGACCAAAAACATCTGCACTGCATGCAGATGTTTTCCCTTTTTTATGTTGCGCTGTGTGGAAACAACATTGTTTCTTGTTAATTAAATAATTTGAGGTGCAACATGAACACAGATTCTTTACAAGAAGTAGAGCTACTGAGGTGTCAATCCCACAGCACTGATAATTTGTTGAATTTATAATCTGAAAGTTTATTCCACATTAGGACTCCGTATTGGCAAGTCCTTACAGTGAAATGACTGATCAGCAGTGGGAACAAAAACATTCTGATCAGGGTGCCATAGTCACTTCCTCTAACAGTGTTCCTTGTTGTTTTAAGTTTGGGTCAGTATAGTGCTCCAACATCAGGTGGTCCTCTCCATGAAGGAAAAAGTTGTTTTCCCTCCAAACAGAAAGAGTTGCATCTTTGCCACAAACATTTTCCACAAGGGTTTTCAGTTTTATGCTTTTAGCTGCCTCTTCACCTTCTCTGGTCAGCCCAGAGTGGAACTCCACGTTTACATGTCAAGTCAGGGCCGAATCACATGACTGAGCGCGTGTCGGCGTAAATGTGGGAACAACTGAAAATATTTACGTTGCATGAGCTCAGCTGCACCGACGGCTTTAGCAGAGAACCTATAGCGTGCATGGCGGAGTGTTACGTTTGCATTGCGCGTGGTTTGGAGTCTGAGCTGCTCTTCTCCGCTCCCCGTCCAGAAGTGGTAGAGCAGAGTGGGAGGTGGGGGGTGTGTTGGGCGGGGTGCTCAGTTCTGTTGACAGGGCGGGGCACCCTCCCTGGATAATGGTTAGGGGAAACACCAATACTGCAGGTGAGTTCATGATGAGCAGGTAAACACGCCATCTTTACTTTCATTATTACCTCATCTTACTGTCTGTAGTGGTTGTTCTGGGGTGAACCACAAGAACTGCAAGTCATGGCAGTTTTACGGCTGGATAGTTAGGCTCAGTGCAAGCAGTTCAACATCGGAGACTTCCCAGTTGGAAAAAAAACTTGTGCCAAGAGGCAAAGTGGAAAAATACCTCATATATCATTTGTCTGAACTGATGAAGTGGTTTAGATTTTGGACCGAGTAAATTTGTTCTGAATGAGTTGAGCTCTGAAGTAGTCGTCTGCTCGAAACCCTATAACAGATTTAAACTAAGATCACTAACTGCTGTCTGCAGTTTACTGCAGGTAAGACACTGACTGCTCATAAGTACTTTACAGAAGCTCACCTGAGACGTCAAGGCAGCATCTCCCCGAGCTGCAACTGTCTGACACTAGTCGGCCAATGGAAATCACAATAGGTACATTTCACAGGTAGTCTGGGTATTTGCGACCAGCCACGTTCAGTTTGTGAAAATTGGGGCTTATGTTCATGGACATGTCTTACAATCAGAGCCAGGCGTGTCAAACTCATGTACAAAGTAGGGGTGCACAGATTGTAGTTTTCTGGCTGATTAACAAGCCTGAGCTGCTGATACTGGTTCAGTTTTATAACCAACACTGTCAGGAGTCTTCAGGTCACAGTGCACCTTCAATCTTCCATCTGATTTGACTGAAAAACAGACCCTTGAACAATCCTAGAAACATTACAAACTGGTTTTAACTGGTCATGAGGTGGAGCTCTGAAATATAAATGAGAATCAGACAACTGTTGTTAAAACTAAAAAACTGGTAAAATCGGTTTCTCGTCCAAGTATCGACGGATTTCCAATTTCCCCAAATAAAGGAACTTGGGTGCGATAATTGTCTGGTGCACTCCTAGTACCAAGAGGGTGAGAATGAAGCGCTTGGTTCAGCCACGCTTCAGTTTCCATCGATACATTAACTCAAGTCCGATATCGGACCGCTCTCCTCGTTTCCACACAATCCAAGATTACTCAACACATTTTTCTTGACTTCAAAGTTCAACAACTGTCATGAGAAGTCTGCACTAAATAAAGTTATAATAACCGTTTTAAAGCAAATAAATAAATAATAGAGGCAATAAATATTTTTACATATAAAATTCTATTTTGAGGGTCAGGTAAGATTAACAAGGGCCAGATGGCTGCAGTTTGAAATGTGGTAGTCTGTGCACAGTACTTCATTACCCACCTCCGCAGTACCTGATTTATGCCCACCACTTTTACAATGAAAATACATAAACTTTTACATAATTATTGTTTATCAGTGGAGTGGTGAGACAATCAGGCCTGTAGCCTTGGATGTTTTCTGTTGTAAGAGACCTCATATGTACATGTGAAAATACAGTGGAGCTGTCAAGTTTATGGAAACTAAAACGAAACGTCTTTGAGACGGTTTTGAGACACACAACTTGTGACTTGTGAGAAAAATGTATGATTTTTTTTTAGCATGTTCAAAATTCAGGCAACAAGATTTGAAGCCTCTCACATGAAGAAACTGAGGACCCCTGCAAACATTTTAAAACATTTCAAACTCCCTTGTGAAAGCTGTTCACCAGCTAGTCTCAGTGAGACCTTAAACAGAGTGGAGTCTAAAGAAGCCAACATCTGTGAACCCCAAAGGTGCTGTTCGTTTCAGCTGACCTGTGAGCGGTCAATCTGCATCCTACAGCAGAGAACGCTCTTCATCTTCCCATTATTCCAAGACTTTATTAGCTATAGTTTTATACCTTTACAGTGATCCAACATTGTAACTGTGGCCACTATTTCCTAAATGTGTTTGCACAACAACAACAACAACAACAACAACAACAACAACAACAACAACAACAACAACAACAACAACAACAGATGTACTTCCTGAATTCAGGTCAATGCACAGACTCATTTTATGGAACGTGTTTTGTTCCTCTCCGAGATGTGTGGCCTGGGCAGTTTTGCATTTTCTGTCACTGCTGTCCAGACTGTGGTAAAAGAAAAGCGAGAGAAGCTCGGGGAGAAGTCAAGCCTAAATGACCTTATGGGCAGAACAGGACAAACCCCATGAACTAGTGTTTATTCACTTCTAGTGTTAGTATTAGCAACATAAACATTTAGTTTTGTACAAGCGGCTTATTAAATGATCAGGCCAGACGACGGATGTTGGAAACCAGTAATGTGCTTTGATTAGTTAGCTCTTAAGCTCCTGTTTGAATGAGTTGAGACAAATTCCAATCAATTGTTTTCAACGTGCTTAGCCAAACTGCGTATTGGAAAAGTTGTATGAAAATGACAAATATGTTGGAATGTTGCTGTTGGAATATATTTTTTGTGTTCGCTGTTCGTCCCTGCTGTTTTCCACAGCGCCAACACTCCCCCAGAACAAACAATAATCATAATATAAACCACTTGGGAACGAGGCGGGGTTGAAAATCTCCATTAAACCCTGCATATAATCAACTAAACCTGTTTAGCTCGAGTCCGTTTCCTTGAAAGATTTGGTTCTGGTGCACGACAAAGATACGCCTTTTCCCACGGGCTTGACTCGGCCCAACTCGTTACGGCTTTCAAGTCTTTCCCCTGGTGATCCCACTCGGTTCCAGCTTGGTTCTTAGGACCCACTCAATCGAGCTGAAAATCTGTCGTCAGCAGAATGCAGCTCATCGATTGGTCAGAGAGCAACGTCAATCATAAGAGCAGCTCATTGACAAGAATCACCCATCATTTTTAATACTTGCACCCACAGCATTCATTTTGTTCATTTCTTTAAATATTTGTGTGTGTGTCCATTAAAACGGCAACACAAACCAACACTATGGTACTACGAGGAAGTACAGATGTTCCCGTTCTTGTGGGCTGAAAAATCCACACAGAGCTACACCAAATGCACACTGTTTATGGGGCTCTGACCACCGCAGCAAAGGTGGCCTTCACTTGGCCACTGTAATTCTGGAAATCATGGCAGAGCACGGTGAGTCCTTTGTGATTTTATTTTACTTTGTTGTTCATTGCAGAGTTGTGTTAGTCTTCATCCATCCATCCATTCTTCATCTTCTTCTGAAGTCGGGTCACGAGGGCAGCAACTTGAGCAGGGAGGTCCAGACATCTCTCTCCACAGACTCTTCCAGTTCTTCTGGGTGGACTCCAAGGTGTTCCCAGGCCAACCGAGCCATAGTCTCTCCAGGGTGTGCTGGGTCTAACTCAGGGTCTCCTCCCAGTTGGACATGCCCGAAGCACCTCTTTAAGGATGTGGAGGAGCAGCGGTTCTACTCTGAGTCTCTCCTGATAACTGAACTTCTCCCCCCGTCTCTAAGGGAGAGTCCAGCTCCTGCAGAGGAAACTCATTTCAACCTCCTGGATCCACGATCTCATTCTTTCAGTCTCTACCAGAGTTCATGACCAGAGGTGAGGAACGTAGACCGACCGGTGAACAGAGAGTTTTGTTTGTCTTGGTTAGGAAATAACATTACAGAACTTTGGGTGGCTGTGCTGTGACGATCCCGTCCACATTAAGGTGGCACTGAAGGAATATGGAAGTCCTAGAGACCATGTAGCCCACAGGTGCCTCGAGGGCCGGAGTCCTGCAACTTTTAGATGCGTCTCTGATGCCACACAGCTGAATCAAATGAGGAGGTCATTAGCAGGACTTTGGAGAACTTGACTGCACTGAGAAGCTAATTCAGTCATATGATTCAGCTGAGTGGCATCAGAGACATCTAAAGGTTGCAGGACTCCGGCCCTCGAGGCCTGGAGTTTGAAACCCCTGTAGCCCAAGTTGAACTGGGCAATGGAAAAATGGTATAACTGCTGGAATGTTTTGTTGTTGTCATTGTTGTTGCTGGTTTCTGCATTTTTTCCACAGTCAATAGTCACTAATAATAAAGAACTAATCACAATGTAATCCATTTGGGGAAAAATGAACACAGCACATCAACTAAACCCGTTTAGCCCGAGTCCGTTTCCTCGAAAGGGTTTGTTTCAGGTTAACAACTGTCATACACACTGTACCCTTCACCACCTGCTGAGGAGACTAAGCACACTAGTCATTAGGAACCAGTTAACAAAAACTGGCCCTTATGTGCATTTTCTATGAGGTTTTGATGCAAACTCACTGTCGTCGCCTACTGGTCCTGCAGAACACTGGGCTGGTGGGTCCCGTGCCAAGTCGTTCAACTCCTAAAACAAATAAAGCAGATGTAAGTTGATCACAGCGTGCATTTCCTCACACATCATTTTAAAGCTCAATGTTTAGACTGAAGCACAAAATAAAAATCAGTCCCAGTAACACCAGACATCCATAAGGAACAGGTGGAAGTCCCTCCACCATGATCCATGTTTGTCAGGTGACAGCACCTTGTGTGAACTCCTGCGAGGTGTCACATTAACACAGTGACAGACCTGTGTTCTGAGCCAGCAGCCTGCACAGGTAGGCAGACATGCAGCCTGCACAGGTAGGCAGA